AATTGCCAATAAAAATTTAAATATATATGTTGTTTCTTCGTTTCTTCACGTACATGATTAAGTTTCATGCAACCCTGGAAAAAATTTTAATGAATAACTACAAAAAGCTACAAAAATAGAAATTTTGTAGAAATTTTTATTATTTCGTATTAATTTGTATATTTTTGTAAAAATATTTATTTTGAGATAAAAACACCTACGCAATGATACCACAAATTACAATTTTTTAAAATCAAAAAAATAAAAATAGTATTTCATGAAAATCCACAATTTTTTAGCAAATTGTACAAAAATTTACAAATTTTTTAAATGAAAAAAACAACAAAATTTTATGTAATTAAAACAGACCCGGCATGGCTTGACTTATTAACATATAATTATGACAGAATATATATATTTTATTTCTATTTTATTTATATTTATACTAGTTAAACACTTGACACCAAGCCATTCCTGATATATACCGGAGATACTTAATAAATATATATGTATGTATTAAACAGAAATTTACATTCGTTGAATAGTTATTTAAATTATATTAATTAATGTTAACAACTATTTCATGATAAAATCTTATTAAAGTTTTCTTTCATAACTAAAAAATATAAAATAATTATTGTTTGGATGATTTAGTTATAAAAATGTAAAAAAAAATTTTGCATACATTTGGTAGTAGACGTTAATAGCTTCTTAATCCAATACAGTTTTATATTATGTTATATTTATTTGTATTTTATTTTGATTATCGATCATGTTATTTTATGTTAACATTTATAAAAAAATAGATATTTATCTTTTTCATAACTTTATTGATCTGATCTATCACCGATATGTATTCATTAACATCAAGTAATCATGGATCATCACGAAGTGTCTGCAGTTGCCAATCACAAAAGTTAAGCAGCGTTGACGGCAGTCGTGGCTTGGATCGTCGTTTAGAACATAATTGTAGATTGGCGTAGTTTTACGTACGAATTTGTAGATTAAATATAATCACAAATTTTGACAATCTACAAAAGTGTTCCAATTCTAACATTTTTATGTAGATTTTTTTGTAGCATTTTTTAAATTTCTGTAGAATTTCATAGGTTCTGACAATTATTTTTTTTGCAGTTTTTTGTAATAATTTTTATTTTTTTTTTAAATTTTGTAGAATTTGTTCGTCTGAGAATGCAATAAAAAAATACAAAAATTGACAAAAGTGTTCCAATTCTAGCATTTTTATGTAGATTTTTGTAGCATTTTTTAAAGTCATGTAAAATTTTATAGATTTTCTCAGTTATTTTCTGTAGTTTTTTGTAGAATATTTTTATTTTTTTTAGAATTTTGTAGAAATTTTTCCGCCAGAGAATATGCATGGTCTATCCCAAAAGTAACGAGACTAATTCTGGAAAACCGTTTTATTGAAAACAATATTTTTCAAAGTAGGATTCTTGAATATCAATACAGCAGTTTCAGCATCACTTCCACTCTTCGTAGCAGCGCAGGAAGTTCTGACCAGATATGCCTTCCAGAGCACTCATTACGGCTGCTTGGACCTTTCTAATCGTCCCAAAACCATGAACCACCGTTTTGGAACGATTAAAAAGGTCCAACTGCGACGAGTGCTCTGAAAGGCAAGTCCGATCGACTTCCTGCACTACTATGAAGAGTGGAAGTGACACTGAAATCGATATATACGTTCAAGGATTCTATTTTGAAAAATATCAAATATATTTTCAATAAAACGATTTTTCCAGAAATAGTCTTATTACTTTTACGACAGACCATGTATATTAGGGTGGGTAAAAAATAGATTAGATAGAGAAAAAATTTTTGAAAATTGATTAGTAATACCCTCTAAAAGTTAGCTATGGATTTCAATATAATCTGGGTAAAATTTCATCAAAATCGATTAATATCTTCAGGTTATCTCTCGACCTTGAACTTAGTAAGTTTATGCATTTCTTGGATAGATGTGTCAAAATTTAAAAAAATATTTGAATTCCAATACCATTTGGTATTACCTGTTGTTTTTCGGTCGTTAAACACGAATCCGAGGTCAGATGTACACATTTCCAAATGTCAGATCCGGTATATATTCTTATACAGGATATCCCATTTTAAATCATATATTAAGGTAAATATATCGATGAAGGG